TATTGTATTATAATATTATATAATAAATGATAATTATTATTATAATAATTATTATATGCATAATAATAAAAGCTATCAGAACAGCTCATTCTGATCTGAAAATTTTCTTTAAAAATAAAGCTAAAAGTCTTGAGCAGTTACTAAATTCATGTCCAACCAAATTTGCTTTTACTTTCAAAACTTCAAATTTTGGAAGATCTGGACCCATTTCTTTTTCATAGCTCACGGAAACAAAAGCTTGGAATATTTTGTTTATAGTATTGCTTCTCTCAGGCCCCAAGTGTAAGAATCCATAGTCGTTCCATAGTTGAACCTTTCTTCTAGGCTACTGCCATGACTGCTATTCGACATAGCGAATTGGATCAGAAATCCATCTGGTCTGGTACCCTGTCTCTCAAGAGTGTATATGTTTGGTCAGCCTACCCTGTGTCTGTTTACACAGGACTCTGTTTAGTCCTGGTTTTGGTTTTGTTTTGTTTCTTTGGGGATAACAGGATTTCTTTTTATTTCATTTTTAGCTGATGTTTTTTGAGCTCTACCTCTCTGTGCTTATTGGCCTTCCCTGGTCCATGAGTTCAAAACTATCTATAATCTTGTTTCACTGATTGCTTCAAACTCATAATTGTCAGTAGTAAATAACTTGTAGCCCATATCAGTTGTCCATTCCTCCTACCTTGCTCTGTGTGACAGCAGTACTAAGTAATCATGTTAGATCATTGTGATACATGGAGGAAAAAGGGAAATGTGGGCAGCCTGACTGTGATACGACATTTCTGGCATTTTTGCCCTTTTTTCCTTTGATACATCCTCACGTGTCTCATTGAAGATACAGCTCCGTGTTGCTTCTAATTTCTGTCTAGAGGGTTGAACAGGCATGCTAATGCAGGGTGTCACATGGGCTTGAAAACTTTGAGCAAGAAGGTCAAATGTATTGACTCTTGCTTTGCTGGTTTCCTACTCTGTCTCTCCAGGGATGAGTCTGTAGAGACCCTTGTGTGGAAGGAAAACAGTAACTTTCTGTCCTTCCCTGCTTCCCCTACAAAGCCAGGGATAGCAAATACTTATTCTGTAATTTCTAGTTTAAAATAAGGGTTGGGTTCTCCAGCAAATTTGATTCACCACAGAAGGCGTATTTTTTTTATTTTAGGAAATATGTGTGCTGCCCTCACACTTAACAAACTCAATTAAGGCTCAGTCCATGCTCTTTCAATGAGGCATCTCTTCTGGATCTAAGGTGTGGGAAGTCGAGGAATGCTACCTCAGGAAAGAAATGTTTTATCCAGCCCTCAAATCCAATCACAGAGAACAGTCTGTATTTGTGTGGAATTACAGCAGTAAATATTAGCGTATGTGAGAACGCTGTATAGATCAGATAGGAGCCTTAGCCAAAACAGTTGTTGAGAGTGACTTTTCTGAAACAAGAACTAATTAGTAGGGCTTGTTTGAGGTCTTTATTAAAGAAGGTAGGGACAATTTAGTACCTCATTGACTGGCATTTCAGATACTGCAGATAGTGGGGGTTTTTATTTGTTTTTTTTTTCTCCTGTGGTCCAGAATTTATGCAGGCTTTCCCATGCGATCCTGATTAGAAGATTAGTACATTATCTTTAAACAAATACTGGAAGATGGATTGCAGTTTAAGTTATTGGAGCAATTTGTAGTTTAAAAACTATTGCATGTTTGCTTTTTAATGAGATGATGGGTGGGTACAGTATTTCTATTTTGTGAGGCCCTCCTAAGGTTCTTAAGCTCTGTCTGTGTGTCTTATATACTTATTTGTGTGTGTGTTTATACATGAGGTTTTTATATACGTGCACACACACACGTTATATGTAATAATATACAATAAGTGATATATAGAAGGTCTTGGAGCTTCAGTAGCACTCCAGCGAGGCTGAAATTTCAGAATGGTCATAATTGCTCAAGAACTCTTTCCTTTACAGGTATTTCACATGATACTATTGTTCAAGAATCCAAGAAATACTGGCAGAACATGGAAGCAAATGCACATGGATCACAGGTATTTTCATTCTGCCGTGCAACTAATTCTGTAGCTACTTTGGTGATAATTCTTTTTCTGTCTGTGTATAATCAAGCTTATTTTAGAAATTATTTACTTTTAACGATCTCTTCAAATGATCTCTTTCACTTTAACGTTTCTATATATTAATCACAGGCTTGCTCCACTTGTGCCAAAATGCATGCTTTGTGTCTACGCAATTTCTTTTTTCCTTTTCTTATTCTGTCATATGTGGAATACAAAACCTAAATATCATTTCAAAGTCAGCTGCCGCAGGGCTTTAGTAATCTTTTCAGTATATGACTTGTATAAACTAAACAAGTTTCAGAAAATCATATTCATATTGTTGCAGCTTCTAGGTAAATTTACCTAAATGAGAAATACACTAATTAAAAATGAATCCTTTAAGAAATGTCTAGTTTTTGAGATTGCAGACTAAACTGTTACCAAGTGGCATGTCTTGTAACATCTGCTTCCGGACATCTGTTGTGACTCTTATCTTAGGGGGTGATTCATACTTGTGTATGGATTTCTTTGCAGATACAAAATACCTTTTATTGTTGGATTTGTTTTGTTTTTTGTTTTGGGCTTAAGATCCTTGGGAACCAAATGAAGTACGGATCACTTAATTTGAAGATGAAGTTTGTTTGTGGCCAGTGCTGGAGAAATGGTCAAGTTAATGAGCCAGACAGAAACAAAAAATACTGCAGTGCAAAAGCAAGACACCCGTAAGTAAGACTGAACAACTAAAATTTTGTCTTTTAGTAAGCCGTTTAAATCCTCTCTTGGGAAATTTTATGTTACTGTTGAAAAAGCAAAATGAAGCAGAACACGGTAAATCTCGTTAACATATTTTAATTACTACTAATAAGAAACACTTCAGTGGCAATTTAAGTATTTTTAATTACCAGTTATGGCAGAGTTTCTAATAAAATGTAGTTAAATCTCATGTGGTGAACTCTTTGTAGAGATAACTCCTGGACTCTCCTGGTCCTGTTTCTGTTTACACAGTATGTCTATTGTCAGAAGTACTTTCTTGTGTTGAATGCCTCCGTTTCTACCTAGGTGGACCAAAGATCGCCGTGTGGTGCTAGTGATGTCTAATGAGCGGAAGAAGTGGATGACCATTCGTCCTCTTCCCACAAAGAAACAAGTGCCTCTGCAGTTTGATGTATGTTTACCTAAAACTGGCCTTTTCTAGTTTCAAAAGTGGGGTAACTGGAAAATACTAGTAATTGGGCTGGTTTCACCAATCCTGCAGAAATTCTCATGGGAGTTTGTGGGAATATACTAAGAGTGCTTCCACAGAGCTCAGCCTTAGAAAAGGACTGAGCTCCCATTTTATTACTAAGTCCTTTGTTATCAGTGGAGGTTAATCACTTTAAGTGATTAACTTAGATACAAATTTAGTTAAATTCTTAATATTTACAGTAAACATTGTAGAAATAGTTTCAGCATATCTGTGGTCTAGTAACTAGGTAAGAGGCAAAAAGTATTCATGGTACGTGTTTCCAACAGTTTATTTTTTCATAAACTACAAGACTTGAGATTTTTTTTTTTTTCTAATAGGCACTTTTATATAATACAAATGTCTGATGGGGGATGGGCGGACACCAGGCAAGATGAAAAGTCATTTTCTACCATCACCCATTTTACTTTATATTCATAAGAAATATTTTTTAAATTCATGTTCCAGTTGTGCAATCATATTGCTTCAGGCAAGAAATGTCAGTATGATGGAAACTGCTCATTTGCTCACAGTCCTGAGGAGAGAGAGATGTGGACCTATATGAAGGAGAATAGCAGTAAGTAGAAGAATAAGCATATTAAAGGCATGCTGTAAATGTAACTTACGTTTTTTCATTCTTGCTTTTCAATACCTTTTTAATCAACTGTCTTTCACTGCATTCTGTAGCAAACTTTGCAGGCACTTTTTTTTTTTTTTTTTAATTTTTTTTGGAATAAGGCCAGACTGGGTATTCAAAACTAGTACTACATGAAAATAGCTAGACAACAATGAAATAGTTTGTATGGATTTGGAGGGAAGGTCTTGGAAGTAGTATGTTAATCCATCCATCAGAATTGTTTGATAACTTCGTGTTGCGATGTGCACACATTAAGATTCTGTTGTCAACACGTGGGGGCTATTTGCAGAACAGCACTCTCCCATCCATTTACTGTGAATGACTATTTACTGTCTGTTGTCGATTTGTTATCCCAGCAGGGAGTTACGGGGGAGAAATAATGGAAGATCAGTAATAGTAAATGCTGGAAATGACAGTGGCATGATCTGCAAGAAAGCAGGCTAAATTTACCAAAAATTTAATACACACACACACACACAATACACGCACACTTAATATTTATATTAGTCCTTAGAAATTCAGATATCACTACATAGTGGCACAGCTGTCATCTATACTTTGGGTGCCTGTTCATAAATATGTAATATCTTACTTCCCCTAGATAGCCAGAAACGAGTCATGGTAAGTAGCCAGAGATTCATATTGCTGTTAGCTATTGTCTCTACTGTGTAACTCTCTACAGTATGGCTTACCTTTCTATTCTTAAAATAGTTGGGGACTGAATTATGCTTGCAAACTCAGTCATTTATCTAGTATTCTCAGACTCTTGCCTTAATTGCTAATTACTTATTTTAGCTTCTGCTCTCATTAGTTCAAGACTTGGAGCAGTTGTATGATATATGGCTAAAAAGTCAAAAACCAGAAAAAGGAGATGATATAGCCACTCAGGCAAACAAAGAAAACGGGAAGCAAATTCACATGCCAACTGACTATGCTGAAGTGACAGTAAGTAGCATAAGTATAATTCTAAATTCTCTTTTTTTTTTCTTTTCAGTCTGTAACATACGCTGTTGTCCTTACTCTTTTGGTGCTCCCTTTTGATCATAGGTAGCTACACTGTATGCAGGCTTTAATAACTGACACTGTAATGCAGTTCTGAATCCTCTGAAACCAGTGGAAATCATAAACTTCAGCTGCTTGTTTCAATAATATACCTGATTAGCTAAACAACAATTTACAGGCCAGCGTAAAGAAAATATGTAAAAGGTATTAGGAGCAGTTCTGTGCTTGTTCTATCGGAATTCTCAATGGTTTGTTTTCAAACTCCTTGTAAAACAGGTGGATTTTCACTGCTGGATGTGTGGAAAGAACTGTAATAGTGAGAAACAATGGCAGGGTCACATTTCTTCTGAAAAGCATAAAGAGAAGGTTTTTCACACTGAGGACGATCAAAACTGCTGGCAGTATCGCTTTCCAACTGGATATTTTAGCATTTGTGATAGGTATGTAGTTTTCAAGATAAGAATGCTGAAAAATGAAAGCTCATAATGTAAATAATTACTGCAATTGTTATTTTTGACACATGGTGTTCTCGGATGTCTTGCTTTGCGTGCATATTCTAAGAAGAAACGAAGTAATTAACAGTATTTTTACATGTGCTATTAGAACTTGGGGAGGGACAAGCTGCCCAATTGTGGAACTGAATGAATTGTTTGTGTGATGTTAGTAAAGGTTCATGAGCTTACTGCAGCTGGGTGAAACCTTGCCTAAAAAAGGATGCTATTAAGTTTACTGAAGCATCTGCATATTAATTACCTGTGGAATACAAGAACAGCACCTAGTTGGGCAGTGTTACTGGAGCTTTAAGGCAGGTAGAAATGTTGTTAGCATTAAGCCAAAGTTGTTAAAAGCAAGTGTTTGTTATTGGAAATGTTGTATGGAAACGTGGAAGAGAGCTTCCGAGATCATCTGGCTTTCCTCAGCACTAGTCATATATTTTACTCTTTCTTTTAAATGCATCCTGTTTGCCTGACTACAGCAGGTTTTGAGTAAATCTGTTGAAAGTCCTTTCCACTGCTGGAATCCTCTTGGAAGGCTTAAAAATTTTGGAGTCTGCATTCTGGAGCTGCAGGTTCAGAATACAAGCTTCATTTTGCTGGTTCAGTTGCCTCCTTTCTTTGATATCAAGTTAAAAGATTTTGAATGCCTTAGAGATCTTGAGAGACTGCACAGCATATAAAAGCAAGTTATTTGTTGTTTGCAGTCTTTGCAACTTTGAAGTTTATGTGCCCTTTTTACTGAATTTTTAATAACATCTCAAATTAGACTATTTAAACACTAACAGACCTCAGATATGCAGTATAAAGTGAGTACGAACTGGTACACTTATCACTTAATATGAGACTACTAGGATAAATTAGATTCATCAGACCTGAGCAGTTTAAAAACAAATTTAATTAACGCAAGGCAATTAATTATTTGGGCTTTTAAACAAAAGTATTCCTTTAGCTTAGTGAATTAAATGTTAAGGTGTTCACTTAACTGGTAAAGCAAATAATTTGACCTGATAAAATTGTCAAGCATAAAGGACTCTAAAGTAGGAGCATGAAGAACAGAAAGACAAGTGCCATCTTTTGTCCTTTGCCTATGCTTTTCCTTCGTAGCTGTTAAGTGTTATCAAATGCTACACGGAGTTAGTATGATCGTGCTTTAAAAGTATTATTCTAGTTAGCTTTCTGCGTCCTTAATATTTCAGTGTATTTGAAAAGCATGACCAGTAGGAAATATCCTGACAACGATTGTATGTAGGTAAATCTTTAAGAACACTATTTAAAATCTGTTTTAACAGATATATGGCTGGTACTTGTACGGAAGGAAACAACTGTAAATTTGCCCATGGAAATGCCGAGCTCCATGAGTGGGAAGAGCGAAGACAAGTTTTAAGAATGAAACTCAGCAAAGCAAGAAAAGATCACTTGATTGCTCCCAGTGATAATGACTTTGGAAAATATAGTTTTTTGTTTAAAGATTTAAACTAATACTGAGATGGCACATACATGTTACCAGCTGGAAGTATAAACCAGAAAATTTGACAATAATCAAAAGCATGTGACAGAAAAGCTGCAGGTTTTCTGCTTTTATTGGCATATATTGTTCCTCCTGGACAGCAAAATATAGTAGATTTAGGGGGATTGAGCAGACCTGTCTGTGCTCTCATGACACAGAATGGTGATTTAAAAAAAAAAAAAAAAACCTGAAGTATTACATGCTAATTCACCTTCTGTTGGACAGAAAGTTAGGAAATAGAAGGGGGAAAGAGAGGTTATAAAGTCTAGGAAGCCCCCCTAGTATCAGTCCTTCAGTTGAAAAACTTTAAGGTATTAAGGTATTAAAAACAGTGTCTTGGGCGAAGAAGAAAATGATGGATGAAAATTCTTCAGATGTTTTAATGGAGAGGATTTGTTTAAAACAAAGTTTGCTACTTATCTATATGTAGGTTGCTAAAAAGGAATTTCTTATTAAAGATTTTAAGCAAAATAACCATTTAACTACAATATATGTTGAATGGGTATTTTTTTCTCTATTTGTATGTTTCAATATAATTTACTGAAAAAGGATCTTGGGAAGAAAAACCTAATTTTTGAAAATCAAGTAGTTAAAATTCTGTTTCTTGGTCTTTGCTGTTTAAATGATGATTTTGAAAGATTACACTTGTATGTCAGTATTGTGTATCGTATGGACTAATGTTGCCTGTAATAAAAGAGAACTTTACATAAAGCTGTTTTCTGCACGTAGCCTCTCAGGATTGAGATTTTGTGGTTTAAAAAAAAAAAAAAGAAAAGAAACACTACGCTTTGCCTATTAGCAAAAGCTTGAGCACTTATAGCTAAGAACGTGATGTGTTGGTATCGCTGTGTCCAGCGGCCTCTTTGCCGCGTCCTGTACGGCCGTGCGCTCCGCGGGGCGAGCGC